GGCCGCGGGGCCGGCACCCGGGCTTAAAGGCGCCGCGCCTCCGCCACCCCTCCCCACAGGGTACGCGGGGGCCCTCGCGGCCCCGTGCGCCGGGAGATCTGCACCCCGGCCCTCGCCCCGCCTTAGCGCCGCCGCCGTCACGCCTTGCCCAGAACTGGCTATGACCCGCCTAGGGGGCCCAGCCAGGACGCCTGCGCTCCCAGCTCTTCTGTGCCCCACCGTGAAGGGCTCCCCCGGGGGCGTCCTGCGCCTGGCATCTTCTCCCCACATTCACAGAAGCAGAGTTTCCCCGGGGACTGGGCGGAGGGAGGGGGCGGTCACGCTGGGCCAACCTCGCCTCCTCCTGTCAACCCCATTCATTCATTCTCTCAGCGAGTTCATTCAACAAATGGAAATTGAATGCCTACTACGTGCCAGGCACTGTGCTTGGGAGGTCACCGCTTTAGGCGACTGCATAGTCCCTATGATGGCCACAGGCTCCGAGATCTGAGGTTGGGTCTCATCCCAGTAGGCCTGATTGGGAATCAGCACCTAGGCGCCTGGAGAAGAAGGATGGCCCAGGGCGGGCTACCCTCCATGGGCAGGGATAGACAAATCCTAGAAAGGACCAGCCCTGGGAAGAGAGAACGAGCCCTTTAAGAAAGCTTTACAAACCGGGTAGTGACAGGCGCCGAGTGAAGTGCCACGTGACTTTTCTAAGGGGCGGGTGGGAGGGGGAGTAAGCGCTCCTTTATAGGCAGCTCTCCTTCGCTTACCTCCTTCTCAATGCACCAATCAACTCTCGTGGTAGGCGGGAGCGAGCCGGGCAGATGGCCAATCGTGGCCAGAGGAAACGGTGAGGGGCGGGAGGCGCGGCCCGCGGCAGGCCACCCAGCGCGGGAAGTGGGCGGGGTCTCTGCGAGCGCTGTGTGTCGGCTCGCAGGCAGGCGGGGCGGAGGAGATGAATGGATTCACAGGTAGCGTTGGAACAAAGCGGCTGGACAGGAGCGGCGCGCGTGCGCAGGGCCTGCCGCGCTTTCCCTACGGAGCAAGTCCTGTCAGCCTGGGAGGGGAGCTCGCGGCTGGGCCTGCCGTCTGCGTGGTCCGTTCCCTGCGGGGCGGAGTGCCCCCACCTCCTTGGGGCTTATCCCTCCCACTCTGCCCAAGGCTTGTCGGCTGTGAGCCACCTTGCCTTTACCCCCAGCCGGAGGGAATGGGGGTCAGAGGAGGGAGGCGGTGGTGCTTGAGATTACCCGAAGGATTTGAGCTTGCCCCTGATCAGAAGGCATCAAGAGGGGCAACCCTGGAGCAGTCCCGCTCTCCCGAGTCTTCCATGTGAAGGATAGATAGTCTACTCCCGTAGGAGCAGTGGTCTCTCCCACAGTCACACTTCCAGAAGGGCCACAGCATTGCAGCCAGAGATGGTTTTATCCCCCCAGGATTCAATGCGCGGAGAGGTGAAAGGAGAATCAGGTCTCTGGCCTCGCCCAGGGTTGTCTTGGGGTTGCTGAGAGAGCCTCCTTCTCTGGGGTCCTAGGACCTATGGAAAGAGCTTCCAGGGCCTGAGAGGCCCAGACCCAGATTCTGCCCTACCCCTTGCTGTCATGTTTTGTGTCTCACCTCTCCGGGCCTCAGTTTTCCCGCTGTAGGAGAGTGCTATCTGGATAGTGCCTAGCCAGTGCATCACAAATCTATCCAGCTGGGAGGGTGCTTCTCTGGGGTCAAGCCCTTGGCGGGCAGTCCAGGTGCCGGTTGTCAGGGATGGAAGCAGCATTCAAAAAAGAGGCCTGAGCAGATCCACAGGGGAGGGGACCTGCCGGCCAGTGACCCATGCCTCAGCGGGCTTGTTGAGGGCCTACAGAGCACCAGACACTGCCTGGAGCTTCAGCGACAGCAGTGCCTGATGAGGAATTGGCCACTGCTCTCACTAGTGGGGCACAGCTGAAATGGGAAACTGCACTGTGCCCCACAGTCCTGTCCCCCATCCTTGAGGAAGAGCCTTCCTGGAGAGAGGAAAGGAGGCCTTGCCACCCCTCACATTAGCTCATGATGGCTCCCTTGTCTCTCTCTCACTCTGGACTCCTCTGGGGGGACATACACCCTGAGGAGAAACTGGTGAGGATGTGTGGAATTGGAAAAATCCCCTGGGGATAGAGGGCATCTTCCAGCAGAAAGAGAGGCAGTGTTTGGATGAGTACAGGAGAAGGGAGGGCATGTGGGGAGGGGGTGACAGTGGAAGCAAAGGGGTGGAGGAGAATTAGCCTGGCCATGTGAGGTGCCAGCGGGGCCCTGGGCCTCCATCACCCAGGGTGGACAAGAAGCACAAAGCCTTGGTTCCTGAGTGGAAGCCCTGCCTCCATTCTTGAACAGTTAGACACAATGCGTAAAACGGATCATAGCAGCACTGTCCTTGCCGTTATAAGTCACAGAACCCTCTGACTTATAAGGCTCAGAGCACAGCAGGAACTTGCCAATGGTCAGACAGCAAGAGGCCAGAGCTGCCCCTGCCCAGGGCCTTGCCCCATGACTATGAGCCTCCCTTAAGGATGCTGGGAGAGGGAGCCTAGGAGAGGGAACCTGGTGCCCTGGGTGAGGCCTTGGGGTCAAAGACATTCCTCTTCTTCAGGAATGTGGCCTTTTCTGCCCTTCAGGGTTCAGACCCTCCTTTACCTGCAGCCCCCAGGAGAGGTGCCCCACTCACCTAAGGGGCAGGGTGAGCTGGTCTCAGGAGGGGAACTGCAGATGGGATATGTTTGAGCTCTCTGAGGTTATACCCTCCCCCACACCTCCAGGCCTTTGCACATGCTGTCCCCTCAGCTGGAAAGTTTTTTGCCCTTACCCTTTGCCTGCCTTCTAGAAGATCCCAGCTTAGGTGTTACCCTCAGGGAGGCCTCCTCTTATCCTCCAGGCTAGATTAGCCCCCTGTTCTGTGCTCCCAGGACGCCTGCCCCCCATCTTTGCTCTGGACTCTGTCATAGTCACTATTCAACACCCCCCACCAGACTTTCTCCCTTCAGATGCCCAATGGCATGTCTACCTCCCCTTAGGCTCATTCCTCCTCCTGCATCTCTGTCTCATCCCCGTTCACCCAGGCGCCAGGCCCAAACCCACGAAGCATGTCTGGTGCTGCCTTCCCTGTCCACATGTCTCCAGCCCCAGAACCACACAGCAAAGGGGCTTTTCCAGCAGGGCAAGGCTTGGCCATGATGGTGGGACATTCGATGTGAATGGAGAAGATGTGGACTGGTGTGCACCCCCATATACACACATCCATATGGTTGGTGACCCAGAAGCTGTGTCACCAAGAATAGTTTAAGCATCTTGGAGGCAGACTTCTTTTTCTCACTGGTGCCCATGGATTTCTTAGAGATGGGCCACCATGTTTTGAATGGCATGTGCCAGGGAGGGAAGAGAGGAAGAAGGTCAATTCCTTGCTCTCCTATCCTAGGAGGCTTGCACAAATTTAGAGTGAGCTCCTGCTTGCTTCCAGGAGGGCAACTTTCTAACATGGGTCTACTTCACATCCCACTACAAGAGCTGAGCAGGGGCCAGGCACCCCAGCCCATGGTGCCTGCTGCTGGTGACGAAGCCAGCTTGTCCCCAGGGCAGCTCCACCAGGCTGGGGAAGGTGTGCCATCAGAGCCCTGCCTGAGACCCAGAACGGGGGTCACTCCATTTGCCCCTGAACTTTGGGACAGCTTCTTCCTCGTCCCTTGGTGAGGTGCTTGCCTGGTTGCAGTCAGAACAGATAATGTGTAAGCGAGGCCAGGAGTAGACTGTGAAAGGCCTGGCAACTCTCTTGCCCTAGACACACCCATGCATGTGCATACACAAACACACACACACACACACACACACACACACAAGGACACACACAATACCTAGCCATATATCCACATATGCTCACAGGCACTTATGTGTGTGTGCAGAAATACATAGATAAGACCTACAATAGGTGTGGAAATATATAATACATGTGTGTACACACACTCACTGTTATATGCACACACATATGTGTGGGCACTTGCCACTCTTGTTGGAGAGTGCCCAGACAGGTACCCCAGAGGGGTTGTTACAAGCTGCTGGAATCCATGGTCCCCTCCCCCAGCCCTCCAGTCCCCTAGGCTCACCCTACCCTATTGGCTGTTGCTAGGATCTCCATGGTGACAAGTTCTGGATGGGAGGAAGCCCACCCCTTCTCTCCTGCCAGCAAGGGGCTGCCCGGGCCTGGGTGATGGCAGTACTGCATGGGGAAGGCATTGCCTGAAACAGCTCTGGTGCTAGGGAGCCATGTGCCTGTTCATCCTCCACTTGCCCTGCCCAGGTGTGTGGGGCAGAGGGGGTAGGAGGACAGCCCTGGGAAGCAGGTGGGAGAGAGGGTCACACCCAGGAAAATCAGAGAACACTTGGCAGAATGGAAGCCTGGGAGTTCTTGGAACTCCCCTAGGCTGCCTGGAGAAGGCAAGGGGGAAGGAGTGAAGGGAGCCAGGCCGCTGTGGGGACCTCCCCCCCACACCACCACCATTTGTGCTCAGAGATTTTCTGAGCACCTGGTCTGGGCCAGGGAGTATGCAGGGCAGTGAAGTGGGACTTCTGTGGGGGATGGGAGGAGACTAACATAATTCCTCCCTCTCCCAGCTCTCTCCCTAGCAGTGACGGAGCAGGCCCCTGGCCAACCTCCCCTTGTGGATTCCCTGTGGCCACTCACTTGACAGTGTGCCTCTCCC